TATATTATAAACGTTTTAAAATAAAGCAATAATTATACATTTGTATCATTATAAGAAATTTATCTAAATATTATATATTATGTTGTCACTTACTTAGTGCAACTTTTTGATTTGACTACTTTTTGATGCTAATATTTTAACCTTTTTTCTCGTATTATCAATATAATTATTTAGCGCAATTTTTGATTTCACTACTTTTTGATGCTAATATTTTAATTTTTTTCTAGTATTATTAACAAAAATAAAGGCTTCCGGTTCCGGTAAGAGAGTGAGTGACTAGGTGTGTGAAAGCGTGGCAGGTATTTTTGAGGAAAGAGTGAGAAAAGTGAGGTGATTAGGAGATAACAGGTAGAGGGTGTAGAAAAAGAGGAAGAGATTGAAAGTATAGGATTACAATCTCAAAGGTGGTAAATAAGTAAGAATATTGATTAAGTTAAATGTGTTAGTTTAGGTGGGGTTTCACGTATCACTGAATAACATTAATTAGATGTAGGTCCTAGGGAGTTAGTCGTCAGGTCTGTATCTAGTAAGCTGGGTATTGACTGTTGGCGTAGCCTCTCTTCGTGTGACTTTGCGAACTCGATTTCTTGCTCGATTGTAGGTCCGCGTGTATGTCTTCATTACTTTGATACCATCTGGCATCGCAAATCATGCGAATGATCTTATTTTGAGCACGCTGAATTATTAGTCGGTTCGAGACTTGTACATCCCCACAATTGGATACCGTATGTCCATATAGGCTTGATGATCATTAGATATATCATTCTCTTATGATAGAGGTCCAGTTGGGATCTGCGCCCATTAACCAGTGCATTTGTCTAATTTTCATGCGGATTTGTTCCGCTTTTTTACATAAATGATATTTCCACGTTAATCTTGTATCCAGATGCATGCCTAAATACCTTGCAGAGTTTGCTTGTCGTAATAGTTGATTGTCTATATATACACGGAGTTCTGCATCAATGCGACGTAATGCAAATGTTACATGTGTTTATTTATGTTCATTGAGTTTAATTTTCCAGTCTTTCGTCCACTGTGACACTTTATCTAAAGCTCTTTGGAGGTTATTCGTTGCTTTTCTTTGTGAGTTGTTCACTGCCATTATTGCTGTGTCATCAGCAAACGTGGCTATTGTCGTTTTGCTATCAGTTGGTATATCTGCCGTATAGATCAGGTACAAGATCGGCCCCAGGACGCTTCCCTGTGGGACTCCCGCCTGTATTGGTAAAAAGGCCGATTTAGCTTTTTCGTACATCACTCTAAATTTTCGATTTGAGAGGTATGATTCCAGTAGTCTGCAAAAATTTCCTGGCAATAATTTACTAATTTTTAGAATGAGCCCTTCATGCCACACTTTGTCGAATGCTTGTGCGACATCCAGAAATACAGCGGAGCAGTATTTCTTTTCTTCAAATGCCTTTTCTATTATAGAAGTCACTCTATGTATTTGGTCAATGGTTGAGTGTTGATTACGGAAACCAAATTGATGATCCGGAATCTGTAGTAATGGTTTGAGTCGTTTGTACAGTAACTTTTCAAATAATTTTGATATCACCGGAAGTAGGGATATTGGTCTGTATGATTTTACTTCTTCAGCCGGTTTGTTGGGTTTGTTAATCATTATTATTTGAGCTATTTTGAAGCACTCTGGTATATGTTCTAATCTAAGACAAGCGTTGAAAATATATGTGATCAGTACTATTGCCTTTCTTGATAGTTCTTTGATCAAACTGGGTGATATTTGATCTATGCCTGGCGCTTTTTTGGGGTTCATATTTTTATCAATTTCTTGTGCAATTTCGAAAGGTGTAAACAGTTTGATTTTTACATCTTCGTGGAATATCCTTGTCGTGTCAATACTGGACTGAGTGTCGTTGGTTTGAAAAACCTTATGCAGGTGCCGAGCGAACAGTTCGGCTTTTTCTTCATCACGGTGTATCCACTTCCCCCCCCTCATCTTTGAGTGGTGGTATCCTGATAATTGGACGTTTAAGTCTTCGAGTTGCCTTCCACAGAGAATAGTTTTTGTCCGTTTCTGCAGAGAGGTTACTTAGGTAACTTTTGAAGCTTTTTTTTTGTTTTCCTTGATTAGTCTGTTTAGTTGATTATTGATACGATTAAAGGTATTTTTGTGCTCTGGATGTTTAGATTTTTGCCAGGTACGTCTTGCTCTTCTTCTGTTTTTAATCATGTCTCTAATCTCCTCTGGGTAGCATATTTCCTGCGTTATAATGTTACTTTGTGCTGGTATTGAGCTTCTCGCAGCACTACAGATATAGTCGACCATGTTTTGCGCTTGTTCATCTAGCTCTTCCACAGATTTAAGCCTAACTTTCAGGTTTATTGTTAGATCAAGCTCCTCTCTAAATTTGTCCCAGTCCGTATGTTTGCTGGTAAGTGTAGTTCTTTTTTCCTTTCGAATAACAGTAAAACTCAGCGTGAGTAAAACCGGCACATGGTCTGAGGAGAGGTCATCTATATTCTCAACTTCGAAATAGTTTGTTGATATACCTTTAGTGATGTAGAAATCTAACAGGTCAGGTACTCTGTTTCTATCCGTCGGCCAATATGTTGGTTTCCGTGACGATCTGACATCCCATTTACAGGCTTCAGTTGCTTTGTGCAATTCCCTACCTTTGGGAGTGATTAAGCGGGAGCCCCATGCCGTGTGTTTAGCATTAAAGTCCCCTCCGGCTATGAATCGCGATCCAAGCTTTCCTATTTCTTCTTCAAACTGCTTTTTCTTGATATTATGTCGAGGTGGGCAATATATTGCTGCTATTTTGAGGTCTGAGTTATTGTGTTGGACCGTAATAACAGTAGCTTGCAGATAATCCCTTCTGATTTCCTCATGCGGACAAAACTTTACATTGTTTTTAACAACGATAGCTGTACCAGCATGAGCTTTACCACTAGGGTGCGTCGTGTGATACACCGTGAATCTTCAAGTAATTTTTATTAGTAAAGTGGGTTTCAGATATTAATGCTATATCTATATTTTTATAATTTAGTAATGTTTCTAGCTCCCTACTACGCAGTGCCAAGCCATTCGCATTCCAAGTTATAATTCTAAACGATGTGTCTGTCATTATTTTTATAACATTGGTCATGTTTTGGACTCTGCTGGTTTCTCTCTTCCAGCACTTCCAATCTGTGTTCAGTGCTATTACACATATACTGGATTTTCTGGAGTAGGTCCCACACGTCCTGGATCGTTGGTTCATTTAGTTTAGCTTGTGTTTCCATACTCCCATTTGTTGGATGCGTACATTTCGCGCTTGCTACTTCAGCATAGGATTCAGAAGGTTTTTTAGCGAACATGTGGTCGTTTTGATATATACGTTGCGTAACGGTCATTTTAGGTTTTTGCTGAGACGCTATCTTTTCTCTGTAGACTGGGCATCCCTTTCAGTTCGCCGTATGTTCTGATCCGCAGTTAGCACATTTACATTTTGTATTTTTTGGCTTTTTGCATTCAGCAGAGTAGTGATTAGCTCCACATTTGACACATTTAGGTTTCTTTTGGCAGTAATTTTGGGTATGCCCAAATCCTTGGCATCTCTTACATTGCGGAATCTCTTTTTTAACTCTCGGTGGCTCAATTTTGATTTTGCAGTATAACATATGTTTCAGTTCATAGATATCTTTGTTATTAGGCTTGACAACTAAATCAATATAAAACAGTGGTAGCGCTATTTTAGTCGGTATCTCATTAATTTTCTTTTTGATGATTACGTTTGTTACTCGAACGGCCTCATGTCCCAATTTCGCTAGCTCATTCTTAATCTCTTTTTCGTTAGTTGTTGGATGTAACTCTCTTATTACTATTTTATAAGGTTTAGATTGTTTGCACTGAAATGTATAGTAAGTTACTTCTTTTAGGGGATGATTTTCCTGCGTTTTAATTACTTTTAGTAGCTTGATAATCGCCCGATAGTCTTCCTCATCTATAGTATTTACTTTTATTTCGCTACTGGCTAGCGTTTTAAAATTTACATCGTGTTTAATCTTTTGCATAATTAGATCTTTAATCATGTTAAAGTTTTTGACTTCGTTTATGAATATCGGCAGGGGGATACTCCTTTTTCAGCCTTAGCTTCTCTCGTTTCTTGTTGTGCGGATATCTCAGGCGATGAGATGGCTTTTCTTTTCTTGTATTTCGCGCCCTTAACTATTTCCCACTCTAGTTGCTCTTCATCCGTCTCGTAAACGATTTTTTTCTCTTCGCTTTCTTTATTTTGTAGTTTTCTAATTGTTGTTTCCAGATAGTTAATTTTATCTTCCGCTCGTCTCCATGCTTTCCACAATAACATTTCATAACAAAATAGAAATAGAAAAAAATTAGAATTATATTAATTCATGGCATTAGAAGTGTTCAAAATAAAATATATAATGTTAAAACATAAATTAGCAATAATTAAATATTAAACGGCAAACATTAGAAGTAAGAAACGTTAAACAAGACAAAGAACAAGGAAATCTTTAGTATAATATAGAAGATCATTCTTCATGGTACATCTGCTCAATGCAACAGTTTAAAATATTGCATAATATATTACGATGAGGTTCTAATATTATACAATTGATGTGGCAATTTTTATATCGTAAATTATAAAAAATGATTTTTGAACATAATAACATACATTTAATTGTCATTTACTAAAATAAAATTAAATAATAAATAAATAGTATATAAATATATACTTTATATACCAAAATATTATCAATACATATTAAATAAGAGCTGCATTTATAATAGATATAACATTTGATATATATACATGAAATTTTTCTCAATACAATAAAGAAGCTTATTTGACATTGAATTTATTATTTTATATAATTTTTAGTTTTATAAGTCATACACGCAATGGAATTATTAAAAATAGATGATCGAACAGTAATGTCGATATCATTATTGTACTTCCTTATTACAATAAAGAAACGTAATAAAAAAGACAGAATGTGTATTTATTGGAAGATTAGCCATTATATATATGTATTTTTTCTTCTCTCGTATTTTTATTTTTGGCACTTATGATTCCTCAAACGGGTTAGATACAGACACTCTTAATATAATCTTTTGTGATATAACAAACTTGTTATGAAAGCACAAATATCAATGATATTAATCAAATACGAAATCTGAAATACAAAGTCTGAAATTAGGTTATGCGTCGCTCTGGCGAGTGTCCGCAGCAGTGACGAATTCGAAGTTGACAAATCAATATATTTGTTATAAGCTCAAAGGTATGTGCGAATTAAATCCTTTCTGCGGAAACTAAATGTATTTCAACTATAAATACCTACCTCAGATATAATAAAATACTACAGATGATATACGCATTTCGACACTCTGCGTCACACTTTGGTATCATCGCAATGGACCGTACACGTATTTATTGTTTACTTGTCAGCTTAGGGTAGAAGCATCGATGCAAGCGCCATGATGCGATATATATATAGTCAAAACAGTGATATATATATATAGCCAAATTCAAAACCAATATATAAATTATTCAAAGAACAAATTATAAACGTTATAGATTATAGTAATACTTGATTTTCATGAAACGCATATACGTATATCTACTTTCAAAATTAATTCCTCTCCAATTTGTCAATAAATAATTTTTTTTAAATTTATTTATATATATTAAAATTTCAAATATATGTAAGTGCTCGATTTATGGAACTTCAATGGAGCGAGGGTTCGGTTTAAGAATCAACACGCATGATGCAGTAAACAACTGTAATAGTAATAATATGTACACATTAACAAATGCCAGAAACATTACAGTAAGCGAGTGAACCAAAGACTAACCTGAATCAATACAATTGTCGATGGCAAACCTTTATCTATCTCCGTACGATATCATCGATACTCTCAGCTCGGAGTCTTGTTACCTACTGCCTCTCATGCGCGAGTCTACAAGCCGCGGCAAGGTCGAGCTTGATAACCAACAAGCTTACATCCCCCCCTTTTTAAGACCGGGGATACACTCCTTGGGATTGATGAACAAGCTTGCTAGCATGAAAAATATTTGACTCCTTTTTTCTAAATCTACTATCTAACAAAAACATTACATCAGAAATTTTCTCTTTAATTTTAAACGGACCTACTCTAATTGGATCTATTTTATTTTTGTTCAATTTATTAACGCTTTGTACATAAACTAAATCTCCTACTTTATAATCTATCTGTTTTACGTTCTTATTGTAATATTCCTTATTTCGATTGTGAATTTCTTTTGAATTTTTAAAAGCTATTTTCCTGTTGTTACTTCAATATTGCTCCAACTCCTTCAATGCTTGCATCAGTGAAGATAAATATTGGGGCCTCTGGATCAAAAATTGCCAAAGCGGGAGCTGTGCACAAATATTCTTTTGTCGAATTAAAACTATTCCTACACTCTTCGGTCCAATCGAGGGGTACATTCTTTCTTAACAGATTTCTCAAAGGATCTAATAAGACAACATGATTTGGTATAAACTCCAAATAAAAATTGATCTTCCCTAAAAATTGTCTAACTTGTGTTTTTGTTTTGGGTGTGGAAAACTTCTTGATAGCCACTAAATTATCATTTATTGGTTTAATCATATTGCTTCCAATTTCGTGTCCCAAATATGTTATCTTTTCTTGGGCGAACTTACATTTATTTTTATTCAATTTAAAACCTTATTTATATAGTATTTGCAGTACTTGCTCTACATGATATACATGCTCTTCGTAAGTCTTAGAGAACACTAATATATCGTCTATATAATTTACTGTGAAAACGTCTAACTTGTTTTTTCTTATCACACCTGCTAAAACTCTTTGAAAAATAGCGGGAGCAGATTTCAACCCAAAGGGTAAACGTCTCCACTGCCAGTGTCCGTGATGTGTCACGAAAGCCAACTTATATCTATCCTTTGCACGCACCGGAATCGACCAGAACGCCGAATTCACATCCAATTTTGAGAAAAACTTACAATTTCTGGCGCGTATAGTAAGATCATCTATTCTTGGAAAGGGCTGACTTTCTGGCACTACTATTTTGTTGAGCTCTTTAAAATCAATACACAAGCGTGTTCTTTTTCCTTCTTCTTTCTTGAGAACCATGGTTACGGGAGCTGCATAAGGACTGCTTGACTCCTCTATTAGACCTGCATTTAATAAATCTTCTACTTGTTTCTCGATTTCTAATTTATCTTGAAACGAGCATCTATAGGGTTTCTTTGAAACATATCTATTTTCTGTCAGTTTCACTGTGGCTTCATAATCCTTTACTGATCCTATATCAAACTTTGATTTGGCAAAGATTATCTCGTTTTTTTTATAATATTCTCCATTTTAGTAGTGCTTATTTCATTAGTGTTATTTTGCTTATCTGAAATTTTTTTTTTGTTTGTTTCTGTGATATGGTCAAATTTTCATCCTGGCAGAGTTTGAATTTTTTTATTGAGTCTAATCCTAGTAGAAATTCACAATCAATGCCTTCCTTAACTATGAAAAACTGAAAATCCTCTTCTATATTACAAATTTTAATACGTATTGTTATAATCCCTTCCGTTTTCGTCGTTCCAGCTACACCTTTAATGGTATCTCTCCCACCTATTATTTGTTTGATATTTCTTTTATTGTTCAAAAATGTACTACTAACTAGAGAGACATTGGATCCGGAGTCATAAAGACCAATTGCTGGGCAACCATTTGCAAAAATCTTAATTTTAATAAGTGGGAGGACTATTCGTTTTTTGTCTCCTCATGGCTTGCTACTACTTCTTGTATTTCATTATTATTTGTAACCTTGATGTTTTCGTTTTTTAAGTTTTTAGTTTGTCTATCTTTATTACGGCATGCGCTTTCTAAATGAAATCTATTTTTGAAACCTAACCTATTACAAATGCTACATGGTCTTTTTTCGTTTAAAATTATCTTGTTTACATTATCATTTTTTTATTCGTTAATCTTACCGAGTTGTTTTAATTTTGCCATTAAGTTTTCTATATTTATAATAGATTTTCTATCTATCTTATTTTGGATAAAATTTGGTAAGCTAATAACGATCATGTTGATTTGTGTGTTTATAGATAAGCTATCATCCGCTTCTAACAATAATCTTTTTTTCTTTAACGCATATTCTAATAGCGAGCCATTATAGAACTTAAAGTTATACGCATACGTTATATCTGTCCAAGACTGTGCAGAGAAGGTATCAATAAAGGCGTTATTCCATGCCTCCCAATTTAGCAAAGAGTTCTGCATGATAAATACATTATACCAATCTAGTGCAGATTTCTCTAAAAACAATCTTAATACTTCAGCGTATTTGTTTTGGGCAATCCCCACTCTGTCACACTCCTGCACAAATAAATTAATCCAGACCGTCGCATTTATGCTTTCGCCGTTGAATTTTTCAATCACTATGTCCTTTATCAGAGAGCTTGTTTTTCTTTTGAATGTTCCTGCTGACTCACTGTTTACATTCGACTCTTGCTCGGTAACCTCTTCCAAATATTCGTCGTGCAACACAACATTGCCTTCAGTGTCCCGATAAATATTCTCAAGTTCCTTAGATAGTGTCAGCACCACATTGCGAAATTTATTGCGAACCTTTAAACTTTTAACGACATTTTTCACAATTGGATTTTCAAAAAGCTGTTTATGATGAGCACTAGTCTGCTTATCTGCTGGAAATAAAAAACTTTCCTCTTGAGCAAGCAGCTGAATTCTTTTAACTTTAACTACAGAACTTTTCGTGTCTGCACCAGCCTCCGAGACAAAATAAAACTTTGCTTTATTCTCCATTGTATTGATTTGTAAGCGCTCGATTTATGGAACTCCAATGGAGCGAGGGTTCGGTTTAAGAATCAACACGCATGATGCAGTAAACAACTGTAAATAGTAATAATATGTACACATTAACAAATGCCAGAAACATTACAGTAAGCGAGTGAACCAAAGACTAACCTGAATCAATACAATTGTCGATGGCAAACCTTTATCTATCTCCGTACGATATCATCAATACTCTCAGCTCGGAGTCTTGTTACCTACTGCCTCTCATGCGCGAGTCTACAAGCCGCGGCAAGGTCGAGCTTGATAACCAACAAGCTTACATATATATATATATATATTCTAGATTTTGTAATTACTAAAAATATGATCTTATTAATAGTTATAAAATCTAACATGTGTTTTAATACAATAAATTGGACGACAATTAAAAAAAAACTTATTTATTAACAAGTTCTAAAAATCAGAGCAGACGTCTAAATTGTTATTATTTCTAGACGTACATTTAGATTAGACGTAATCTAGATTTTTTCGACGTCGGTTAGATGTTGAATCGACATCAGCGTTCTGGCTGGGTTATTCACAGCGACAGTTATTTTTCTTCGCAAACTCACAGAGGCAACCATAAATTAGCAATAAATAGTTTATGAGAATGTATTTTTATAAATTATAGAAATTATATTTATAAATATAATTTATAATTATATAATATATATAATTATAATATATATATTATGTGACAATAAATATACATATAATTTATATGGAAAAGTAATGTTTTTAATGCATGAAAAATAAAACTAGTCGGACAAAAAAAATTATTGATCAGATACCGAGGTTAATAGATCCAATTCTATGAATAAACTTGAATTTTAAGAAAAATAGTCGTTTTTTATAATAAAGTAAACAAATTTTAAATGATAAAGAACGTTTTTATACAAATATACATTTTTTTTGTTAAAAGTTTTATAAATGAAACATTTATATGTTATTATATTTTAATTTATACATTTTTGCAGATAACATCCTTGCTCATGTACAACATACATTACATACTTGAAAGAAATAGAGTATTTTACTAATCAAAATATTCTGTTTTATAATATTTAATTTCTTAAAGTATAAAGTAAATGTAATACACATTGTCTTACATTATTAAGTCATTATATATATGTATATGGAAATATTACATAAAATACCGTACATAATTATTGCATACAAGAATAACAAATATTCATGGTTGATATCGGTTACAAAGATGATGATCATGAAAGAAATGATTTATACAAAGGGATTTTTTACACCATGCGCAAGAAATTACAGCAATTTTACCGCAAATATCACATGTTGGTTTTAAATTAGTTTTGAAACAAAAATCTACTGGTGTATCAAATTCTTCTGGTTTTTTTTCTAAATAACCACTTTTATACCATGCATATTTGAATAAATTTTTAAACCTTGGTGATGAAAATTGATTATGTGTTAATGATTGTAATTTTAAAATATTGTTTCTTGAATGAAGCTTGACGTCAAGATCTAAAAGCATGATGGTATCTGAAAAATGTCTAACAAAATTTTTCCATAAACGAAAACCGAATACATCTAAAGGTTGTATTTTTCCCGTTGCTCCAGCTGGTATAGTTAACAAATTAATATTGTCTATAAAATCTGGTTTGTTTCTTTGAATTATATCAGGACAATGACCAGTTTAAGAATCTAATAATAACACTGATTTTGGTCCAACATTTGGAAAAAACACTTCTTTTATCCAGATCTCAAAATGATGCGATGTTAATTTTCCAGATTTTGATGCCATGACAAAGATATTATTATCTTTAAACATTGTTTCTTTTACTATTGGACCAAATGTTCCAGTAGGTTCTTTTAAAACAATAAACAGAGGCGATAATAATCTACCATCAGCTGAAACAATAGGTTGTATAGTATAACTATGTGTAGTTGCTGATATGGATTGTACTATGCGCTCTATTTTTTTAATACCAATAGGTGATAGTGAACGACCGGAATGAAATTCTAATTGAAATCCACTTTGGTCCGAATTATATACATTTTCAATTCCATATTGTATAATAAAAGATTTAACATTTTCGATAAATGACTTGCTTCGTGCTTCTAAATCTTTGTCTGACGCTAAATGTTTTTTTGTTATAAATTTTGTAATTTTTCTAGATACGATATTATGTGCAAGCTTAAACTTTTTTACCCGTGATAATGATGCTGTAAACCCAAGTAGATTTACTTCCTTCTGTACGCGAATAGCCCATCGAGCAATATCAATGTCATGAATAATTATTCCCTTTTCAATACCTTCATGGAATTTATTTAACGTATATGTTGAAATTTCTTCCGGTTTATCAAATCTGCTGCCACCTTGATTTACTTGCTGCTCCCATCTTCTTAATTGACGTAATGACGTGACTTTCCGAAATCTATTTCTTATAGATGCAAGAGTTCTTGACTTTTTTGTTCCACTTCTCCATAACTCTACTGCATTTCTTTTATATTCTATTGGTACACAATCCGCAACACATTCAATTTCTTTTACAAAATATGTGTCATCTTCTCTTTCTTCATAAATTACAGGTTCTACTTCAGGTATATCAAATTCGTTTTGAAAATCTAATGATGATTCTTCATAAACTTCAAACGCTTCTTCATACATTGATCGAAACATATTTTCCATCATGTCTTTTGTTTCATTTTCATCTGTTGTAACAGGACTTTCTGGGAATTCCCCAGTCATATACAGTGCAGTGTATAGCAGTACTGCTACATTTCTTGGATTAAACATTATCTAAAAAAATTATTAACATTATGTATATTTGTTTTATAAATATTAGCAAAAAAATACTTATTAGCAACAAAAATATTTTATTATTTAATGCGTATTAATAATTTGTTACGTTTTCCGAGTTTCATGAAAAATAGAACACTGTTTTATCACATAATTTATAATAACTTAAATAAAGTAATAAAATATTAATTATAATTTAAATACATTAAAACAAAACAGATAAAACGCAATTTTGAATAAAGTGTAAGTAAAAGCAAAAAACTATAAAAGTTTTAAAAATCAAAAAAGTACATACATACTGTATTGTTGTGTGCGTGGGGCACAATTGTTTTTTCAGGATAACGGCTAGTCTTGTTAATTAACTCGAGCACTTGTTAATTATTTGATAACTGATTTGTTAGAAAATTCTTTGGTTTCAGCTATGTAATGCGTCTGTATGATTGGCTCCTTTTGAGGACTTCGGTTGTAGGATACTTGTGGCCGAAATAACACACTCGAATAAAGATATTAGTTCTTTATTTTAGCTTCCACAGTTTTACAGAATAATTCTTAAATGTTATGTCGACTGTTAACGCAAGATTTTACAATAAGGTCAAATACACGGCATCCTTAATCGGGTTTAATAACATCTATAGTTGTAAAACTGGTCAATCACAGCCATTCCCCTGAAGAATAGAACGGCTGTGATTGGCCAGTCTTACAACTACGGATGTTATTAAACCCGATTAAGGGTGCCGTGTAAAGGACCTTATTGTGTCTTGGTATCGAAAACTGAGATATATGTATGTGTACGATAATGAAGATGACTACAAGATGTAGGGATAAGAGAAAAAGATTTATTAACAAACCCTTGGCTAAAATCAGGGATTTTTATAGGCTGAATTTAGGTCGAACTTGTGTGCCGTGTGCACTTTTAATTGGTGGGGGATTCTTAGAAAATTAAATTCTTAGAACAAGTGTCACCATAAAAGATCACAGGTCATTACAAGGATAATATCGTCCCTGAAGATAGGGATTACTGAAGCTTTGCAATGATCGCATATTTTCATGATAATCCTTTCGGTGCTTGGTCATGCGGGGGATTAAAAGAAATGACTGACACGTGTTGCTTTTTGTTCTATGAAATCTTCTCTTATATAATCCGATTTAAAAAATTGTCTTTGAAATTATTATTATAGCACTTAAACAAGGAAAAATGGCTAAATTATATAATTATGATTTTATAGTACAACGCTGTCTTAATTATATCTATGAAATCCTTATTTGTGTTTTTCTGGTGCAAAGACGGAGTTTGCTAGAAGATTAGTTCATTGTAACAAGTTTGTAGATATATTAATTTAGATAATTTTAATAGTTTATGGAAGTGAAATAATAAGGCTTTATAGATAAATTAACGCTAATGATATATTAAGTGATAACCGCGGATTCGGTATTGCTTTCTCTATCTTATAAGAAGAGTTATTTTAACGAATATATTTAGTACTTATGTATTTAATAATTATATATATACATACATATAATAATTATATATTTAATAATTAATATTGAATATTTCATTGATTGATTAGAATAATTGCCTATGTGACAATTTAGTGATTTAGTCGAGCTTCACAAACAGACGGTTGGTTGATCCTAGAGTGTTCTGGTTACAAATGGTGATCCTTAATTGGACACCATTTGAATACTCTAAATTTTGATATTAGTATTAAAAGTAAACTAATTTTAACTAAACACGAATGTGCGACAAACAATAATATATAGTTTATTCATTATTTTTAAATAATAATCTATGAATAGTAGTGGCGCGAAAACCTAGAGTTTCGACCAATGAGACGTCACAACACCACCTTCCCAGTTTCTCCCTTTCTCTTCTTAACCTTCTTTGCTCCATCGTCATTTTCATTATCCCTTCCATCATCAGCTTCCTCTCCTTCGGACCATCTTCTTCAACTCTTCTCCACATCACATTTTTTTTCTTTCTTCTGTCCTGTTCCTCTACCACTTTTCTCTCCCTTCTCTTTTCTCAAACTTTTTTTCCTCATCTCTTTTCTATTTTCCTTCAAATCCTTCAACTTCATCGCCATAATTTGTACCTTGGCTACGTGTTGTACTATTTAATGATTCGCATCCATGCAGTATTCATGGAATTTCTGTGTCAGGATTAATTAGTAGCAGACTTCTGCTCATCGTATCGTACTGAGTTTCTTCAACATTTCACTAGCAGTCATGCAGCAGTTCACGAGCAGGTTTTCCATTTGATGGTTTTCCATAGATGAGAAAATAATTAACATTGCCTTTGTGTTTTCCTTGATACAGAGTTTTCCTTCGACTGATTCCACGTTTGCCGACATAATTCTTGTTCCAGTTACTATGTTCAGCAAACTGTACGTAATAAAAATTGCGTTTATTTGGAACTTCCATGTTTGGAAATTTGTGCCATCGAATTTTGCGCGTATTTTATCGTTATTTTGTCGCTCATTTTTGAACTCTCTTGCACACAAAACAAACAAATATATATTGTGCAAAATCGTATGCCAAGGATGTTCTTCGCTTAAGATGGCCACGCACGTATTACGTGTACTACATCATGCAAGTATCATGTTTACACCACATTGACCGGTTATACCAAATTTTGACTAATTTACTAGGCCCATAACTTGTTAACGCAGTGAAAAGAAATAGGAGATTAATAGTTTTAATATAGTTTATTAATATAATACCTCGGTATAACTGACAAACAAAAGAACAAAGAAAAAGTCTAGAAAATTTGGAGTATAAGTGATTTTTGATACACGTGTGTTATCGACTATTGACTCCGAACGACTGAGGGTGATCGATACTCGATCATGTACGATATTAGTGTTGGAATGATAGCAAAGCCGCTGCTATCATTTTAAGCGGTGAATATGAAATGCCAATAAAGTATAATTAATTTACTCTAACAATAAGAAAAGAACAAATGGAAATTTTCGTGATAAAGTTCAACCTGAACCTGAACATCATTTAAGAAAATTAACTTTAGAAAATATACTTTACGTTGATATGGTTAACAGTTTTTCTCTTGATTGCATGCTTTTAATATGTGTAGTAAAAGAAATGATTTTGAATATATGACTTTTTGAATCTGCACATAAATTATCAAAAACAGAAGAAATTTCAAATTATCTTGTTCAGATAAAATCTTGTATCCTAGATAAAATTTTGTATCTCATCCGATTTTGCAAGAGAAACACGTTCTCTAAATGAATATAAGTGTTGGAAACCAATTGAATTTAGATTTTTTATTATATTGTGATCTAATTATTTTAAAAAGTATTTATCATTTAATAAATACTTATTTTTTTATTTTTACACGCTGCTATTAGAGTTCTAATTAGTAAATAATAAATTCTAATTAGTCTTAAATTTTACACAAAATATCAAGATTATACCTGTATGTAATCATTACTGTAATAGTTCGTAAAACAATTCATTTATTTACAGAGAAGTATATATTTCACACAATGTCCATGGATGGACTTATATTTATTATTTATTGTGCTTAATCCTTACCTAATCGGCTTAGGATGGCTTCCGGTACATACATTATTCATACATTTGATACATACACCACTTCAATAAATTTTTAAACTATTAAACTATTTAATTACATAGATAATAAATAAATAATTTGTTCACAAAACTATTCTAAATCAAAAATCACAAACTCAAAAAAACAAAATTTTAAAATCTAATCTCTACTAATGTAATATAATATCAATCAATCAAATCAAATCTGGAATAAACTCTGGAATAATCTCTAAAACTCTAAAGTTAACTAAACTCTGGAATTAACTATAAACTTCTTATTCTTTGGCTTTAGCTTTTCCTTCCATTTCCTTTCCCTTCTCCTCCAGTCTCTTTTCTTCTTTTATTCTGTCTATCCTCTTCATTACATCTCTTCCTTTTCCATCTTTTTTCAAAAATTCTTCTAACGTTATTTCGTCCTTTGTCTCTTCGCATTCTTTCAAAATATGTAACATATTTTCTATTCCTTCTCCGCATATTCTGCATCTCCTTTCTGCCTCCTCCAACCAGTGCTGACTCCCTTTCGTTTCGTTCCCGCATCTGTATCTCGCTATCATATTCCTTTCTTTCTTGTTTCTTTTTTCCTCTCAAATATGTTGGTGTTTCTTCTCTGTTATTATATTTTTATATATTTCATTATACTTAGATTCATCTATCCTCTTTCTTCTTATTTGCTCTTCTTTTCTTGCTATTCCTTTCATTATTTCCTGTACTATCTTCTTCGTTTCTTTTCTCTTTTCCTTCAATTCCTCCTTGCTTATTTCGGTCTCTTCCAACACTTCTTTTCTCCTTTTTTCCCATTTGCTTTTCTCCCTACTTCTTACCTCTTTTTCAAGTTCTTTTATGCATTCTACTACAAGTTTCTTTTCCGTATTCCTCGCTGTTTCTTCATACTTAATGGCTCTCATCATAGCTTTCATCCTTAATTCCCTCATTTTCGTTTTTTCCTTTATGATATAATTCGGTGTCCTTTATATAGTTTTAGAATCCATTTTACATATTTTCTCTTTATCCCATCCAGTCTTTCTTCCTTGTTCCAACCCCATATTTCTGCTCCGTATAATGCTATGCTTCCTACCAATGCGTTAAACATCTTCATTCTTCTTGTGTAATCATCTCTGAATAATCTTTCTCCGATGCTCCACGTCATTTTCATCGCTATCGTTGCTCTTTTTATTCTTTCCATTATATGTTTCTTGCTCCTCCGTTCTTTTGCATAATGTATCCTAAATACCTCATTTCCTTTACTTCTTCTATGGCTTCTTCTCCACATCTCCAATCTCTTTTCCCTACTCGTTCCCTTCCTCTCTCAAATACCAACACCTTCGATTTTTCTGGGTTTAAGATCAAGTCCTTCTTTTCTATATATTTTTTAAATCGTTTTATCATTCCTTTCAATTCCTGCTCACTTTGTGCTACCAGAACAATATTATCCGCGTACGTAATCGTCCAAAACTTTTCTTTGCCCACTACTATCCCTCCAGTCTGTTCCTTCCTCATTTCTGCCTCCAAATCCATAATATATATATTAAAGAGAGTAGGGCTCATAGGGAATCCTTGTCTAACTCCTGTGCTTGTCCAGAACTCCTCCGATTTTCTTTCTCCTATTTTCACCGTATTCTTCGTTTCTTTGTAAGTTTCCATAATCCACTTTCTCAATCTTTCTCCTATTCCTGCCCTTTTCAGCATCTCTCCTAACTTAATCCTATCTACTTTGTCAAACGCTTCTTTGAGGTCCGCGAAAAATGCAAATATATTTCCCTTTTTCTTTGATAATTCTTTATTCACTATATAGTTCAATACGTATATTGCATCTGTCGTTCCT